GCACACAAAGACCATCTCAGTAATTCCTTGAGACCACGAGCAAGAAGAGGCGTAGCCTGAACTCTTCAAGCGGCATTATCTTCAACCCTGCATGTCCAAGAATCACGACGGCTGCACCCGGACGCCCGAGAAATCGCGCTCGTGGCAGCCGTCGCAGATCACACCGAAGTGCGCGGTCCCTGGCACCGCTACTTAGAGCGCTGGGAATTCGAGGCCCAGTCAAGGTCCGAAGCCACAAGCCCACATCCTCCAAAGGCAAACCCCATTCGTATCGTCACCCTAGCCGGTGCCTGCAGCAGATCGCGAACCGATGGGGCCTGTCCAAGACTTTGGACAGAGAACCCCAAATCCTAAACCGAACTGCGTCCGAAACCCTACACCCAAATGGGCCCTTGGTTCTCCCTTCCAGGTATTCCGATTCGGGGTTCAGTAGCGCTTGAATGGAGTCTTCCTCTCTGGCCATTTGTGCCTTTGCGCTCATAGAGCTTGCAAGTGAAACGCCCGTCTGCTGCACTGACAAAACATCTCATGCAGGGACACGAAAAAGGGCTCAAAAAGGATTCCTATGAGCGGCATTTGGGGAGTGGGCGATAAATTGATTGAAAAGCCCGCAAGAAACTCTGCACGGTACTTTCCGTAAGTTAAATTACTTCTCGAAAGAAGGGTTTCGGAGCTTTGGGCATGCTACGCTGTCAGGAAATTCCAGCTTTCTGTACTTGTGACAGGCTTTCGCAGGCTTGGCGATACCATCCACCCTAAACCAGAAACATACCTATGCGACCGACATGAAAGCTAAGCCACAGAGTAAACCGAAAGCACAAAACCCGACTTAACATGCCCAAAACCCGACTGAAGTGGGAGTACTTAAGATAACCCCAATAAGCCTCTTATGGCTTTATTCTCAAGCTTCTTACCCTATATCCCTTGATCACGTAGTGAAAACCCTAAACCCTAGACACCTACGCCGAAACCTAAAGCTGCAAAAGCTGCGCCTTGGTACCGTCGCAGGCGGGAGTTGCTTCGAAGGTTCGACCGCAGGCCCTGTGCCTGGGAGGCTGAGGCTCATCTAGGAGCCCTTATACGAACTTTGGGAGCTCCGAAAGGACCCGATAAATAGAGTTTTGTGGGGCTTCGAGTGCTTCTGTCGGGCTTTCGAGGAGCTCGGGTCTGCTGGGTTTCACACGGCCATACTTCTAAGCCGAATATATGCCATATTAGGGGACTTATAACCCACTTATAACTCCCCCAAAACCCCAAACCCAAAACCCAGACTTTCCTCACCACCTGACCAGGAGCGAGGCCAATGCCAGCGACGCAGGAATCGTCGGGCGAGGGCGAGCCGCGGAAAGGTCGATGGCTCTCGGTCCAGGGCCGGTCCTCCTTCGGGAGCTCCGGGCTCTGGGTTTGGGGCCTTTAGGGTTTAGGGCTTTGGCGAAGATACAGGCTTTACGGCTCTAGGTTGGCTTTGTTGTTGAACGCCTGTGTTTAGAAGGAGTTCAGAAGCCTTGCAGGCAGGCTGTCATACTGCGAACATTGAAGGCGGTAGGCACAGAGCGTTTGGGGTTTCAGGTTCAGGGTCTTAGGCCTTCGGGCATCGACGTTTCTGTGGCTGAAATTTGCGGGTGAGGGTCTAGGGTCTGGAGATGTCTGGAGTCGCAGTGGACGGATAGTTCTCATGTCAAGAAAGCAGGCTAGTCTCATTACGCGAAAAGCTCGGCCCTGTACCCTGGTGCTTGCGGCAGCGGCCGTGGTGGCGGGAAACCATCCCACCTCGTTACAGTCTCCTCTCCGTAGCCGAATCATTGCTTCATATGTCCTGCGGTTCTTTCCCACTAGTACCCTCGGCTCGAGTCTACATAGCATCGGAAGATGTAGGCAAACACGCAGATGCTTCTGTCGAATGTGATCTGCACTCGGATTGGGTGTGATCTGAAAGTTCTCTACCAGCTCTGCCTGAAGTCGTTGACTTGACTTGCAGCTCAACCTCAACCCATGAGCCGCCAGGCCCCAAAACCGAATGCATAATGACTGCGAATATTCTTATCATACTATTATCAACAGGATCCTTTCATCTTTGCCGTTGACGGTCCAACCCGACAGTTGGCTTCTCAAGGCCCCATAAGGCCCCTACGCCGACAATGGCGGAGGTGGCACTGGCACCTGCCCAACTTTGGCTGCTATGAAACTTCACCGCCTGCAATAGCTGGACCCTACTGGGCCAGACGGGTCCGCGGTACTTCGGCTTGCATGCTCGCGTGTTCTGGCCTCTTCTGCTGATTGATTTTTGCTTTTATCTCAAGTTATTCTTCAACCAGACCTTGCTGCGACAGTGTGAGTTGGTATGCTTTAGTAGTGGTGCTGTGGAAGGCCAGCCTACCTCCTCATGTGTTTTGCATCACACAAGATGGTGGCAGGCCCTCACACGAGAGTCTCCGCTGACCCAACCCAAAACCATCCATGGCTACCCCAAATCAAAGATTCGGCACAGATCCAACGCATCGCCTGGCTCGTCACTTCAGGCTCAAGCGCCTCCAGACCTGCTTCAGACGCACGGCACAAAAAACTTCATCGGGCCCCTACAACGCCGTAGAACCTCCCTCATGTTACCCTCGCTCAGGAGCCAACAGGAGCTCCGGCAGTCGGGGCACCTGAGATGCAGATGTGAAGTCTCGCGGTAAGCGAGCTTCAGAAGCAAGTTCAATCCCAGTAAACCCCAAAGCTTGAACTCCCGAGTCCGAAAAATCGTCCACTAAGCCCCAAAAGCCGAAGTGCTAGAGACCAAACACTCAAACAGAAACCAAGACATCTAAAAGCCCCAAGCCCCAACCCCAAACCCTAAAAGCCCTGAAAACCCTAAAAGCCCTCCAAAGCCCTCAAAAGCCCTAAAAAGCCCTAAAAAGCCCTAAAAGCCCTAAAAGCCCTAAAAGCCCTAAAAGCCCTAAAAGCCCTAAAAGCCCTAAAAGCCCTAAAAGCCCTAAAAGCCCTAAACCCCAAACGCCCTAAACCCTGCACCCATTTTTTGGGGCCCCGTCTGCAACTCCAGGTCGGCTTGCACGAGGGCAGACACCTTCCAGAGAGTAATGTAAGGGCCTCAAAAATTAAAATAGGGTTCCTTTAAAGGGCTTTATAAGGGTTGCTATAAGGGCTATTGTACGGATTTAGTGTAGGGGCCTCAATTATTAGAATAGGGTTTGGGGATACATAGGCACCGATAGTATCCCGGTGCTGTTCTTCCTTTCTTTCTGTTCTGGGTGTAAGCCTTTCGGGTTTAGGCCTTGTGCTTGAGGGTGTAAGCTTTGGGTGTATGTCTTTAGGGTTGAGGGCTTCCAGGATTTGCTGTTCGTTCTTTTTTGTGGCGGGCTCTAATAGGATCTGTTGGTGGAGGTGCTTGGCTTCAGGGCTTGGGGTTCATGCTCATTCTTACGGCTTTGAAGCAGTCTGGTATGGATGTGTTGGCGAGGAATTCGACCTAAGGTGCCGATGCAATCTTGCACGAATCGATGCATCGGAAGAGACTGCTTCCAGAAGCCCCATTTGGCCTCCCTGTTTAGCGCACACATACAGTCGATGGCACCACACCAGCCCCAAAACTTCAACAAAGCACAGTAGGATCGGGCTACTTTGTAGGGTTACCATAACCGCTAAGATAAGGTTACTCTATCTTCTGCTTGGTTCGGCCCTAGAGCCCTGAAGCGGTCCTACCACGTGGCTGGGATTTGACTGCCTCTCGGTCGCAGCCGTAGCAGAAGGACCTCAGCGGTTGCTCTGCAAGCTTTGGGTTGTGGCAATGATCAAGGTGCACGGCCTGAAACCCTTAAGACCTTAAGCCCTAAACCCCAAAATCCCGAACCCTAAACCCGAGGTCCTCAACCCTAAACTCCTCCTAAATCCTCTGCCCCAAACCCTTAAAACCTGAAACCTAAACCCCAAAATCCAAAACCGTAAGACACAACATCCTGAACCTTGAATCCCTAAATTTTGAACCCCAAACCCCAAACCCTAAGCCCTAAACCCTAAACCCCAAACCCCAAACCCTAAGCGGAATGCGATGACGCTCAGCCGCTCTCGGGGCTGAGGCCCAGGCCTCCGGCTCGTCATCATGGGGGGGGACAAGAATATGATATATGACGTACTTTTATAGTATGCTGTATAACGTCAGCTAAATGTAATCTACTAACTATATGCAATATGAAATATGCTAACTCTGAAGAAAAAACGAAGGTCTTCTGCCCCTCCGAGCCGAGCTTCAGGCCAGGACCCTTTGAAGGGCTTGGGGTTTAGGGGTTTTGGGGGTTTGGGGGGCTTTGGAGCCTAGGGTTCAAGGTTAACGGCTTAGAGTGTCAGTTTAAGGGTTTTGGGTATCTCGGTTGAGGATTTAGGGCCAAGGATTTTGGGGCCTGCACTCACAGAAAGCCTTGATTGTAGGCGTTCGGCCTGTTGGTTCACTGCCCATTGGGCCGCAAGTTTCTCTGAGGAAGTTGGGGCTCGGAATCAGTTCTCACAGAAGCATTCCCCTCATCTGCAGTCTGCAGTCCCTTGGTAAACTTTGGACTTACAGTGTAGGGACCCTAAACCCTGAACCCCTGAGGTATCCCAAACGCGCTGTTTTCGAGCCTGCTGATTTCAACAGCTCTGCGACTCAGACGTCGGCTAAGGTCGTGCGGGCAGTTTCCCAGGCTCTTCCAGCTGGTTGTTCGGCTGCTCTCTTCCGGGTCTGGTATAGGGGGGTTGTACGGGTTCTACAACTGTCTGTACGGGTTCTATACGGGTGTAGGGTTTATGGGTTTGGATTCAGGGAGCAGGTTTCGAAAACTACCCATGTGAGACGTGAGACTGTGATGAGGGGTCGGCATCCTCGAGCGAAAGAAGCCGCTGCCAGGACAGAGCTCCCCGCCAAGCCGGTAGCGGCTCAAGGTTCGGGGCTTGGGGGGTTTAGGGCTTTGTGGTTTGGGACTAGCGTGAGCACAACGGCTTTGTGCTTAGGCTTAGGACTTTGTGGCTCAGGGAGGGGAGTCTGTGTCCGTCAACGGCTTGACTATCGCATCCCATTCTGACTCGGTTCGGCCGGCGAAGTCGGCAATCCTCACGGACAGGGCACAGCGACAACGAATCCATGAACCCATAACAAGGATCCCTGAATTGACATCCCGTATTAGGCTAGGGATGCCTGATACAATCCGCAGTAAGGATGAGCTGTTTCAGAGGTGAGCTCACAGAAATAGAATCAATCCGGTCAAGGGCGCGTCTCTGCGAGACCGACAAACACTCGGATTCTGCTTGCTGCCAACCGATGTCACTGCATCAGGAGACGCAAGCCCAGATGCTCCAGCCCAAACACTAACCTCACAACGGAGGACCTAAACGCTTAAAGCCCTAACCCTGAACCCTAAACCCCTAAGCCCTAACCCTAAACCCTAAGCCCCCAAGCCCTAAACCCTAAACCTGAATCCTAAACCCTCAACCCCCAAGCCCCAAACCCCAAGAAACTTCTGGCAACCCTTCACCCATGGCCACCTCGGAAGCCGGCTGCTGCCCATCCCCATCTCTTTGTGTGGCCTGGGACATGGTCGAAAATGGGAGTTTCGGGTTTAGGATTCAGGGTTGAGGGTTTAGGATTTAGTGTTTAGGGTTCAGGGTTTAGGGTGTAGGGCTTTGGTCGGAATTACGGCTACTCAGTCTGCTGGGCTTTTCATTCAGGGTTTGGGAGTTAGGGTTTGGGGTCGAGTGAGGAGAGTGTTGAATGGGACAGTGCCACTGAGGCATTCCCAAGTGCTGTTTTATCTTAAGTCCGGCAAGCCTTGTTGCTGCGATGGGGCATGTTCTTCTCATTCTTAAGAAAATCGTTTGCATTCCAGTTCAGTGGACTGATGATCGCTGCGATCCTACTACTTCTACACTAAACCCTAAACCCTAAACCCATACTGCACTCCCTAAGGCCCTCCAAGGGCCGGGCATTCGCAACTTCATGACACGGCCAGCCGAGGAGTTCTGTGAGAGTCGGAACTTCAGGGCCTCCGGCTGCGGCGCTTTAAAGGAACCCCTAAAGCATCCTGTAAAGAGTCCCTGAAGGGTCCCTTGAAGGGTCCCTTTAAGGGTCTTTTCAAGGGTGTCTTGAAGGGTCTCTCTTTCAGGGTAACTTTTTGTTTGGGGGCACCCCTTTCTGAGTTTGCAGGACTTTCATGCCGTCATGAACCAGGCAACATCAACTCAACACGGATATAGGCGAATGTCATATGGGTAGAGATAGTAAGTTCTACAAGTAAACTGAATTATACAGAACTGCTAAGTCATTGAACGCAATGCTCTCACAACAGCGTTTCGTTACGTAGGTGTGCTAAAGCGGTGTCTAGCGTTGTACACGCACTTACGCTACAGACATGCCTATACATTCCTACCTTCCACATGTATACATACATACACACAGACAGACTGACGGACAGAAAAACATACAGAAAAACGGACAGAGGCTTGCATGTGTGTATACAAACGATGACTCGACAGCTGCACCTGAATTTAGAGAGAGCGCTAAAGGAAGTCTTCCGCAAGGCAGTGGAGGGCCTGCATGCTACTTCATCCGCCCGACGGCTGTGCCCGGTGCAGTACCCCTTTATCCGCCGAAAGCCTCTTTGAGAATGGGAACGGCACAGAAAGAAGTTGGCCGCTGGCCTGTCGATCAACCTCCTCCTCGTCCCAAGCGCGAGGGTCGATCGAGGGCTTGGTGTTCTGAAGTCTCTGCAGCAATGCCTCTGGCGTGCGTGGCTTGCTTGAAAGTCGTTGAGTTTGGGAAGATGCAGTGCAAGTCTTCGATTTCTCGTTACTGAAGTTACTTATGGACGTCCACGGATGTCCTTTATCGAGAGACCGATGTCACCCGTGCGACATAGCATACTCGCGCCAAAATGTGGGCTGTTGCTGCTTCCAAGTGCGGAAGTGTCCGTTTGTTGGGGTGTGAACTGAAACCTTGCCAAGAGCTTTTGCAGGCTCTGGGCATACCATTTGGGATGGAAATCTGTGGAACTACTTATTGCAAATTCACTTTGTAGCCAAACCCTGAAACACGGACGTCTCTCCGGCTTGCCTGGTTTTCAGCCGCGATTCGCCCTGCCTCCCTCCGCTGTGATTCGCCATGAAGGCCTCGGATAGATGCACCAAGACTTTTGCAGGATGCACGGCGCAGAAATGAGGCCGTGGCTTCGCGGCCGCGTGGCTGTGCTAGTCTGTGCATCGCTGATCTGCGACAGGGTCCACATCTTTAGCCATGCCAAGACATGCCGTGACTACACGTTAGGCTGAGGGCTCTGGGTTTTCGGTGCACCAGGCAGCCGGGGCGGAGTTCTTCTCACGGTCTTGGCCCCTGAGCCCTGAAAGTCGCCTGCGATGGCTTGGTGTCGATGTTCAACATCTTCTGAAGCAGGATCCGGTTCTCGAGCTGAGCCAGGGCTGCTTTTCAGCGCGGAACGCACTAGCCGGAAGACGACCAAGCCGAAGCACTTCAACGGGCACAGCAGCGGCTGACAAGCAGGATGATATAGACACAAACGCAGCTGCAAACACAAGCCACCACCAGCCACCACAACGCAGAACCCCACGCCCTCTCTACTGCTGCTGCCGCCACCACTATCACCAGAATCTAAGCACAAATCCAAGGATGCCAACAATGCTTTACCACATCCGACTCCGGGCTGAAATGCGTCTTCGCGAGTAACACCAGACATGCGATATGCAACAAACGAGTAGATGAATCATGCAGTGAGTTTTACTGGTTGTGATAACAGCACCCCAGTCGTGGCCCACCTACTGTCATTCTATCCACAGGTTGTCCCACTCAAGGGCATGAAACAAGATGAGAACCACCAAGCAAGCAAACAGAGTAAAAGCAAAAAACTGAAGCACCGACTGATGAGCAAATCAGCATACACACTCGCATGCACGCATGCTGCATGTACACGATAGTGCAGGCTACATACTGCCCACCTACAATGTACCTGCCAAGCCTGCACAAACATTGAGTAAGTTTCGTGCTCCGGTCTTATGGTCAAGTGTATGCAGGCAAGGCCGTATGTGAACGTGCCTGCGTGTACGCTCATAAGCAAAACGAACGGTCGCATGATGCATGCCGGCAATCACCAATGCCTGTATTTCGGCAGCTCGATCCTGGCGCAAGAGCGATCGTCGAGGCTCGGAATCCCTAAAACCCGAGAACCACACTTTTGCAGATGGCTCCAGCGGCAGTCGTGCTACTTTTGACGAACGGGAAACTCCTGAACCCTAAAGACCCCAAGCTACTAAGTGCACAGAAGGTAATGTCGAAGCTCTGCCGACTTGCATCCTGATCGATCCTCCTTTCCTGAAAGCTTCTTGTCACTCCAGTTCAAAGCCAAAGCAGTAGGGCAAGAATGCGCAGGCAAACTGATCCCAAACTGTTTCTGTACTGTGTAAACCCCCAAGCAAGCCCTGTCAACGCAAGTGAGCCTCCTGCAGTTTCCTTGTTTTCAGCTTATTCCGCAGATGCGCATGATCCTTTGGTTGTTTTGCATCCACCTGAGCGAGTGGACTAGCATAGATCAGCTCTCTCCAATCCTGACGCTTCAAGGCTCTCAAGCCAACCTGCCGAATCCAATAAAATCCCCAAAGCCCTTAGTTCAGGAACGGACCTAAAACCTTGTCCTTGACCCACCCTAGTTCAGAGGCTGTGGCAGAGTCACCTTACTTACTGTAAGGGCTGTTGGGTTTTCCCTTGGAGCGGTCCGAGGACCTGGCGAGACCTCGGGTGCTTTCCAGCGCTTGGAGATGCTTTTCATGGCCTGCGGAAGCCATGGCTTATCCGCGAAGCTTGGGGTGTGGGGGTCTTGTGAATGTTCATGCTTTACGTGGCCTTTTTTGTAGCGGTCTTACATGGTTTCATAGGGGCTCCATACAGGGTTTCATGTTATGAGGGTTGAAGAGAATTACAAGATGTCCGCTCAAAAAGTACGGGGACCCAGACGAAGACCCTGAATTGAGTATACCGCGGCCCCCACGGCGCAGCTCTGTCCGCTCAGCCACCAGGCGGTTGCAGGTGGACCTCTGCATCCAGATGGTGCTGACCCAAGACTTTACTGAGTGTAAGGCTACAAGTGTGAGGATTTCCAGGCTCTAACCTTAAAGCCCTAGAACCCCACACCCTAAGGGATGTATGCGGTATTTGGATGTTGTCTCATGCTTGAAAGGACCTGCGAGGTTCTGAACGAGTCTGAACAAGCTTGGAGGCTGCTACAGGATTGAGGGTTCTGGGTTTTGCCGTGTGAAACTTGACCGCGTAGTGATGGGCTTTAGGATTTTTATTGCGTAGGCGTGCTGAAATGAAGTGCAGCCGACGCTGCCTGCGACCAGCTCGACGACAACCAGACCAACCTAAACCCCTAGAGCTCCTACAAACCCAAAAGATACTCTTTGCACCTAAACCCCTGTAAACTCCCCGCAACCCCAACCCCCCGCCCCCCAGTTGAGGGCTCTGCATGTTCCAGAGGTTGCCTTGGAATTTCGGCATCCCGGGATCTTCCTGCAAAGGACGAGCGGCGTTAAGCCGCGCATATTCTGGATGGCACGTGCGAAACTGGGAATTAGAGGAATGGGAACAGCTGTCCATGGAATAGCACTTGAGAGGCGTAGGTAGTGTGACTCGCAAACTTTAAGGTAGGGGAATTAGGGCCCAAAGGGGAGTTCCAAAGCTTTCTACTATTTCTATCATCGGACCGTGCAGACACGCTCTTCGACGCTCCAACAAAATGCGAGCATCTCCTGCCCCGCGGGCCGCCGCCCGGCGCGGAGCGCACTCTGACACCCGTCAACGTCTACGAAACTGGAGGCGAAAAATAGCACCGGAGAGAAGGGCTAGGGCCGCTTGGGCTAGGGATCTTGGCGTAAAGAGCCTTGGGCTTGGGCTTCCGGACGTTTAGCTGCTTCTCTCAACTACGCGCGCTTGACATTGTTGAGGGCTAAACTTGCAGCTTTTTTGCCCACACAAACCACGGCAACAACAGCGACGACAACAACCGCCAACAAGGACCAACACATCAACAAACAAACCAACAAAGAAACAAAGAAACAGCCAGACAGACTGGCAATCGACAACAAGCATCAAAGCAGCAAACGCAGTGACAAGAAGACGACGAACCTTAGGCTGTATCGGCCACAAGCACAGGAACCGACACAGCATCGAAAGGTCGAGCTCCCTGCCGGCAGAGGCGCTTTGCAGACCCACACCTCCTGACCCGTCACAGCGAGTCTGGCACCTCGAGCCTTAAGCATACTATCGCGGGAGCCTCACAAACATGCGGGCCACGCAGGTTTTCAGTGTTGACCTCTCCAGCCAAGCCGTGCAACACGCAGCTACTGATGCCACGCTGAGGTGCATTTGTCTTTTCTTCTTGTTTCCTATCCCTGAAGGCTGGCCAAGCTGAGGTCTAAGCCGAAAACATGTGCAAACCAAAGGAATTCTTGCACCTCAGCAAAGCGAAGCTCACACTCAGTGCCACAAACCACAGGGAGAGGGGGTTGCTGCCAGGGCAGACCCTTGCATCCAACATTAGGAAGGTGTTCGACTTAGGTTCGGATTTCAAGATTTCAGGTACCTTCTTTGTTTCAAAGAAATGATTCCTTTGCGAGGGTCTCCCAGGCAATGAGGAGCTCGGCTTCAGTGCGGCGGTGCGCAGCTCAGCTTAGTAAGAGGACCTCAGCTGCACAAGCTTTGACAAAGGGGCGCTGCCTTGCATGCGATGGCAGCAAAGGACTTAGGGTTTGAGGTTTCAGGGCTTCGGGTCTCTGCTTCTGGCGCACCTTCATCTCGCCAGCTTGGACACCGCAAGGCACGCGATGAACAGCACTAGAAACGCCAGGACTGCACCTTGCCTTGCCAGCCGTGGCAGCTTGGGGTCCGGAGTGTTAGGCGCTGTTCCCTGTCTCTGAGTGCAATTCAACATTCGACAAGGTGATCTGCATCCGAATCGGACTGCACGCTACATGTAAACTCAACAGGCCCATAGGATAGGAAGCCGGAAGCCCGAGAGTCCCTTCAAGGCAGACCACCGAAACGCAAACCGGCCTGAATTCGGCGCTGTCAGCCTCTGGATCCGTGCGAGCTTCGGAATTCTTCTTCTTTGAACCAACCAAAGCCCTTCCCCCGTGTTCAGCAGGCTTCAGGGCGTGGGGTCGCTGTGCGTATATTCCCCGGCCCTGACACCTCTGAGCCATAAACAAGATGTAGAGCAAGCCGAAGCTTCTGCAGCTAAATTGTCTCAGCTAGGCCCCAAACCCCAAAGCCCCCGACCCTACAGTTGCTCTTGGGGTTTCCACTGCTTCAACTGCGGCACGATTTAAGGTTTGGGGGAGCTGCTGACAGTGGAATCACCAGAAGAGCAACAAGAGAACGACACTAGACTGCCTAGCAGCGCCTAGCAGCCATCAAACTGGCAATGACTACGCATAAGCTGCCGATGTAGTGACAGGACTGGAGAAATCATGGCACGCCTGGACAGGGTCAGCTGTCTTCGCAGCCTTCTCAATCGGTGCTGGGCGTTTACCTCGGAAGCTTACAATCAAAGTGCTTCGGGCTGCATGGACCCTTCTGGACTGCCCACAGCTCGCCTCATCGGGCTCTGAACTTCAACAACACGCCCCGCTTCTGACACACCCCAAGGGCCAAGGGCAATGTGCGAGGCTTCAGGCCAGGGCCCTTGGAGACTTTTTGGGGCGACTTGGCTGCTGGAGCTGATGGCCGCGTCGCCGCCTCAAGAGCACCCTACGAAAGGCGCAGAGCGCTGCGCCTTTCTTCAAATCAGCTGATACATGATGCAGGACAGATTCGGCACAGCTGCCGAAACCATCTTTCTAGAGATGAGACAGAAGAATGCCTTTGCGTGGCCGATTTCAAAGAACTGCAAATTGTGTCAGTCAACACGGTGCAGTGACCCTTCGGGAAACCCGACAAGGATGGAGTTGGCATGGCACGGCCCTTGTTTCAACAAGGCTCCCTTAGGCCTTAGGAGCAGCACTCTCAGTACTGACCGCAGAGACGGCAAGGATAGTGCCAAGGCCGTTACAATCACCACGGTCAGCAGACTGACTGCTCTTGCAAGCGTAAGGGTACTTGACCCCGGAACCCCAAGAAGAAATTTCAACCCCCAACAACCAAAACCCTAAACCCTCTAAACCCTCTCAACCTCCTAATCCCCCTATACCCTAAACTTAAGTCCCTGAACCCCCTGAACCCTCTCAACCCTAAACCCCTCAACCTGAAAGCTCCATTCCGGGATCCGGAGCCTCCATGGCCCAGGAAATCTGTCGGCCACAGAAACCAGCGAGCCGCCTTGCGGAGCACAAAACAAAACCAGCCGAAGGCGAGCAGTATCAAGCAGCAGTAGGTAGGGTTTAGGGTTCAGGGTTTAGGGTTTAGAGTTTAGGGTTTAGGGTCTAGGGTTTAGGTCGTCGTCGTACTTGTTGTTGTGGCTCTTGTTGCGCTGGCAGTGGTGGTGGTGGTGGTGGTGGTGGTGCTGGTGGTGGTGGTGGTGGTGGTGGTGGTGGTGGTGGTGGTGGTGGTGGTGGTGGTGGTGGTGGTGGTGGTGGTGGTGGTGGTGGTGGCAAAAATTTGGCCCATGGCAGTCCTGGTGGTCGCAGCAGCCACAATAGCCATTCTGCTGATGATGGTGAACAACCAGTCTCAAAAGTGCTCATCATCAAATTCAGAGCCTATCTGGTAGTACTTTCTATCATTGGCTCTTCTTTCAGAAGATGGGCATGGCTGCAGCAACACACATGGGCATAAGACACAACATGACAACAATGGTGTTTTGCAGTCACAGTCACAGTGATACCAGACAGTGATTCAATCGGCAAACTTTGGGGTGCCAGTCATGCAAGGCAATCGAAACGGCCACCATTGTCATCGTCATCGTCACCATGGACCTGGTAGTAGTAACAGTGCTAATCATGGCAGCAGCAATTGTGCTGTGATGTCATCGGCCCCGGCATCGTCATCATCGTCCCCAGCATCATCATCATCAGAAGCAGCATCATCATCCTCTGACACCGACAGCACTACTACTATGACCACCAGCAGCGTAATCCCCGTACCAGATCTGCAAGAATGATCTGCCGGAGAGAAGGCCTGTACCAGGGCCGACCTTCGAGACTTTCGCTTCGGTTCGGGGGGGCATCGCGGAATTATGGGAGCAATAGTTTCCTTATTGGGTTTAAATGTAAAATGTTACCCAACTATGACGAAGATCACAGGAGGAAAAGAAGAGTCTATGGGTTGCAGGAGGAACTCGCGATTGGTTTGTAGAGGGTGCTGTGGATTTTGAGATAAAAGCGAGACGACAAGAAGGGAGCAGGCGATGCTAATAGGGATGCTTGACACTGGCTCAGAGCCCGTGTAATGCGAGAACTGTAGCCCCGGGTGCACGAGGATCCCTAACTGAGAGTGCAGTGGCATGATTGTTTGATTGTTGGGAGAGGGACCACGAACTGCAACAGGCTCGGCGGCAGCAGTACAGACGCACACCCTGGCATGTCATCCCTTCAGGGTGCCGAACTCGCGACTGCAGGCTTCCGCGGCTCCAGGGGCTTGTTGACGATCCCTCGTCCGTTAGGCCTGGGCTCCGGAATGTTCCCCTTCTCCCAGAAGCTTCGACAGTCCAAGAGAAGATGCACTCCATTGAATCCACTCCGAGTCCAGGCTCGCGGGTTTTGTTTCGCGAACAGCTAGCACTGTCATCGGTGACACTACTGGTACCACAAGTCTTAACCATGTATTTCACAACAGGAAGGGATATTCTCGTCATTGCTCTCAGAGCTATGACACGAGATGTTTGCCGCTGTAGCTACACACGTCTTAGTCGCTTCCATGCTCGTTGTCGGCGCCTGGTGATACCCCTCATCTGCCCGCTGGGGCTTAGACCCCTTCGAAGAAGTCACCTTCGCAGCCTCAGAGAAAAAGCTTTCGGGCTTGGAGGCTTCGAGGGCCGGAATTTCGGGCGGACATCCCGGGTTGAGGGGTGCAGCACCTGGAGGAACGAAGCCATCAGCAAAGGGATGCCGCAACTGGGGATGCAAAAACAAGGTTCTTTGGCGCTCGCCGGCTTTAGGCTTCCATTGCTCACCGGAATCACCCAAACTCACTCTTCTCCAAAGAACCTCGCGAAGCAAAAAATAACTCGGCCACAAAGCCCCTATGAATATACATATGAGAGCTGACATCATGTTGGCAGACACAACTCGGCGAGCTCCGGACCGCTATCGGAGCCCCAGGAGCCTCGCAGCCAACCCAAAAAAGCGTTTGGGGCTTCGGGCTTTGAGGGGTTAGGGTTTAGGCGGTATAGGGTCTTGGGTTTTGAGGTTCCGGCGTTATGCTTTTGATTTACGGTTGCCGGCCTTGGAGTTGAGGTGTCTGGAAGTCTTCGCTCTGACAGCTCGCTCCCGCACGACAACCGTTTCGAGGACGCCGGAGTGGGTGGATTAGCATCGGCATCGGCACGCGCGCGCATCCACACA